CTTATATTTTTGAATACCAATGGATTGTTTTTAAGTTGTAAAAAATCTCAAATGAATACCAGTGGATTTTAATGGACTCTTTAAAAAATCTTGAAAATCCAGATTGAATACCACTGGATTGTTTTTAAGTGACATAAAATCCTGATTGAATACCAATGGACTTTTTTACTCAAAAAAAGTCTTTTAAAATCCTACGAAATCCTAAACCAATACACCCCCCTTAGTGTGCGAGATTAAACTTGATTGGATTTTGATATATAAATTAATACCAGAACTTCCTATTATAATACTAAAATAAAGTTTATTTCTATTTTCCCCCATAGGTTTTGACCTATTTTACATGATCAGAAATATCTTTACTATTTGATAATAAAATGTCATCCTCCTACAACTTTTTTTTATATTTTTTTTATTTGTATAATAGGTATGTGTAAGTCATGCTAGGCTCAATACAGATGTTAATGGTCCATCAAAATAAAAGATTTCGGTTTGTTGAGGCCCAGAAAGGGGCAAACCCACGAAGAGTTTGGTTTATCAAGCATAGCCAACAATTGTTTTGCATTTCTTTATGGCTAGCAATATACTCACACAATAACACTCTTTTTTTTTTATATATTTTTTTAATTATTTGTTAAAATTTATTGAACATTACAAGATTATGGGTGATGCTCATCAAATAAGTGAGACGTATAAAATTTAATGATTTTTAATAAATTTTAGTCAATAATTAATTAAATATATATTTAATAAAATATGTTACAGAGTATGTTGTTAATATGATTTTTTTAAAAATTTTTACAAAAGGATCAAAGCTTGTTTAAAAATATTGAGAAAAAAAATATTTAAATATTTTGAAAGGAACAATTCTTATATATAACTGATTAAGAGTGCGTTTATTCTTCATAATGGTAAAAAAAATACTTTCTAAAAAAAAAACACTTGTCAAATATTTTGATTGTTTGTGTAAGATTTAAAAAATTGTGAAAAAATAAAAACACATCCCAAATATTCGGTTCATTAGCTAAGTTACTATTAGAATATAAGTTTATAAGTGTTTTTTTAGAAATTTATCTATTGAAAAAAATTCTTTATTTTAATAAGAACATTTAAAAAAAAAAAAGGTTTCTACCTTATATTTA